CGAGTGATGCTTTCAACAATGTGTGCCCATGCAATGTTGCGCGCCAGGTCGGGCTCTCGATGGCTTTGGCACCAATGAACTACTGGACTGCGGCCGGATGCTGTTTTGCCACTGACTACTACACTACTACCACTACTACCACAACTACTGGTTTGCAAGCTGCGTGGATTGCACGCAGGCAACGTTGTTCTCTTCCGCCCCGTGAAGAAGAAGCTGGCAGAGCAGAACTGAGAGAAAAAAAAGCGCCATTGGTTTGATTGCAACTGAGTATAGCTGCATCTTGGGTGGGGTCTTCCCTGTGCACAGTAGTAGTAGTAGTAGTAGTAGTAGTAGTAGTAGTAGTAGTAGTAGTAGTAGTAGTAGTAGTAGTAGTAGTAGTAGTAGTAGTAGTAGTAGTAGTAGTAGCGGTAGCAGTAGTAGCAGCAGTAGTAGTAGTAGTAGTAGTAGTAGTAGTAGTAGGAGTAGTAGTAGTAGTAGTAGTAGTAGTAGTAGTAGTAGTAGTAGTAGTAGTAGTAGTAGTAGTAGTAGTAGTAGTGGTAGACGTAGAACAATGGACGGTGGACAGTGTCGTGTATATTCCCTCTGGCAACAATCTATTCATGACATCGTTGATGAGCCTGCCCTGCCCCACCCCAGTCCAACTTGCAATCTGTTCCTGCTGTTGCTGCTCCTGCTTTTGCTGCTGTTGCTGTCCACTGTTCACTGTTCATGGTCTTCAATGCTCACTTTAAATCCTGCTTTCAAAGCCCCTTAAGGCTCCCAAAACGAAAAGGTCAGAAGGTTAGATACCAACGAACGGAGGTCAGTTGCTTTGAACAGGGATTTGAGGCAGTCCATGACGGTGGACTTTTCCTTTGCCCGGAGCCGGACTCCGACAGAGTCATTCTGGCCACAGCTCCTTTAATGACTTGGCCGTGTGCAGACCCGGGCCTGGCAGCCTTGGAGGCTGCCGGTATGTTCGCAGCCATGCCCCATTCCACCAAGCCAGCCTCTCACCCTCCCCTCAGCCCTCAACCACCACGTCGAGCTCACGCCAAACCGAGCTCCCATCTGCGACGGTGCAGGCAACGCCAGCTCAGCCGACTGGAGGCACCCTAAGCCAAGCCCAACAGCCAGGCAGAACATCATCACAGCCTGGTTGCAGTGGGCCTCCCAGCGGGACCTACCCAAGCGGGTCTTTGCCCATCTATCCCAAAGCAAGCCGGAGCATCGTTCCCGAAGCGGACCAGCTCGAGCTTATACGCATAGCCTGTGATGTCATGGACTGGGACTACAACTCCATGATTCAAGACGGCCAGCCTTTTCGCTTTAATCTAATGCAGGCCTTTGCGGATCTCCTCCAGGACCCTGACAAAGATCTCCGACACAGTTCGCAGCCTTCTGGCGGACGAGGAAGCGGCAGGCTGGATCCAGCCAGTGCCAGGAGGCCTTGAGGAAGCCAAACGAATTTGGCCCAAAGGCATAGCCGTGGGGAAACTACTTAGCCTAGTGAAAGCAGAGAACAGAGACCCTCGACTTGTCCTTGACAGCACGGTATGCCAGGTGAACCCCATGTGCCGCATCCCAGAAGCGGTGGCCATGCCTACGGTCAATGACGTCCGAGCTACCTTTCTGCCTTCGGACCCTCGCAGCTCCTTCCTAGCAGCCAGTGTTGACTTCAAGGCAGCACATAAGCGTGTCAAAGTCCATAGCTCCGAACAGGGCCTTCTTTTGTTCATGTTCGAAAAGATCCTTTATAGATATGTCGTCTGCCACTTCGGGGCTAAGTTCTCAGCCTACTGGTGGCAACGCGTGGGTGGCCTCATCACGCGCATAGCGCACCATGCGCTGGCCTTTGCGCCTCACAAAGCCTGGCTGCATGTAGACGACCTCCTCTCAGCCTTGCTCCGAGCGTTTGCGCCAGAACTCCTCTTCCTTCTCATAGCCACTCTATCTAGCCTGGCGGCTCCCATCAGCTGGAAGAAAGTGTCGGTAGGAGACAGCCTTGTGTGGTGCGGTTGGCACTTCAACTTTCGCCTTGAGACCGTAGACCTTTGCGAAGCCAAAAGATCCAAGTTGTGCGGACAACTTAAAGCCTTGCTTGCCCGCAAGAAAGTTTTCAGGAAGGACCTCGAGGCTTGCATCGGCCTTCTCATGTGGGCAACGGCAATCAGCAAAGTTCTGCGCGCCCACGTCGCCCCGCTCTACAGCGTACTGAACAGCCCACCAGGCAGCAACTGCTCCATATCGCCGCGGATGTGGCCAGCCTTCCTGCACAGCCTTGACTCAAGGGCGGTCATATGCAGACTCATGCCAGGGGTCAATCTGCCTCTCCAAGCCCGCATTATAGAGGTCGGCAGTCGACCCGTTCACTGCAAAGCCGACCTCCCGCCTCAGCCGAAGTCCTCCGGACCACCTGGGTCCGCATCTCAGATCCCACCTGCCCTGAGATCAGACTGACCAATGCCGCAAAAAACAGCCTTCGAAGCCTGGAGCATGGAGGAGGTCAGAAGCACCTGGCCATTCCTCACTAAAGACGCCCAGAAGTATATTGCTTGCTTCGAAGCCCTAGCCCAGCTAGCCTTAGCCATGAAGGCCCGAGAACGCCACGCCTTCTCGCAGTTTTCCGTCTGTTTGCCTTCACAGAGCGACAAAAGCAGGAATCAACAAGCTCTTCACTACCAGCTGGCCGCTCTCCCAGTTCCTTCAGCTGATAGCTTCTTGGTCATCCTGCCATGGGGTTGACCTGCAGGTGTCCCACGTGGCATGGGCACATAATCAGTGGGCAGACGACCTCAGCCGAGGACGTCTTCAAGCCTTCAGCCATAGACCGCAAGAGCGGGTGCGGATCAGCCTCGACCGCCTTGCCTCCGCAGCCTCTCGGGCCACTTGGGCTGGAACCCCGGAGTCAGCCAGCCCGCTTTTGTCTCGACCGGACTGACCAAGTCAGCCCAGTGACCAGCCTATCCGACACCAGAGGAAAAAAGACCGATACCTTTCACGGCGGCGCGTCTTATCCCAGCCTGGCGGCATAACTGCCGTCGCCTCTTGCCTCGCTCAGGTCCAGCTCCACCGCCCGCGGTGGGGGACTACTCACTTCAGCCTGCCTTGTTTACCGGTTGGATCTGTCCCTAAAGTGGGGGATTTTCCTAGGTCCTATGTGACCGATCGAGCCTTCTTGCATCGGTCAGCCTTCGGCTAGCCGCCAGCCTACAGATCCAACACGGTTAAAAAGAGAGCTGAAGTGCTAGAGCAGTGCAAGCCTATGCCTACATGCCTTCGTGTAGCCCGGCTCTAGCACTTGCAGTTCTCGAAAAGCACCTGCAGCCTTGCCAGGTCTGTTCTTCAGGCGACTGGGGCCTCCCTTGCCGCCTACAGAGCCTTAGCTATCGGCATGCAAAGTCATCCCGAAAGTCTTTGCCAGTAACGGGCTGCACAAGCCAGCCTTTGCATCATGCCTGAGGTCACTGCCTTGCGGCCTCCAGCCTTCACCTTGGCAGACTCAAAGCATGTCGTCGCCATGCCTGCAGGTCTTGGACTGCGTTCACGTCATGCCGCTTGCCGCCCAGCCTTAACCCTTTCGGTTTGCCCCCCCCTAACCCCTGCCGCTCAGGTTTATTCGGGACTTCGTCGTCGCCTACCCCCTACTGACAGCCTACTGAGATCTCGCGGTGCGCCTTAGACGGTTTCACGCCTTCTAGCCGCCTGGCCAGCCTCTCTCGCCTGTCCAGGGACCGCCTCAGCCCTCCGCCTAAAACAGGACGAGCCTTGCCATTTCGCATGCTCTCATGGGGAGCCGCTTGCCTTAATTTGCTTAGCTTCAGTACACAGACGATTGTACGCATTCTCACTCGTCTTTTCACAAAGCCTAGTCGAGGGGATTTTCCTATGTGACCGATCGAGCCTTCTTGCATCGGTCAGCCTTCGGCTAGCCGCCAGCCTACAGATCCAACACGGTTAAAAAGAGAGCTGAAGTGCTAGAGCAGTGCAAGCCTACCTAAAACTAGAGGGTTCTGTTGGATGCCGCGCGCGCCTGGGTGCGGCCGCACAGTGGAAGATTATACCAGTAAGCGCGTCCTTTCTAGAGGGTTCTGTTGGATGCCGCGCGCGCCTGGGCGCGGCCGGCGGCCGTTCTGTGGAAGACGGTAAGCGCGCCCTCTCTAGAGGGTTCTGTTGGATGCCGCGCGCGCCTGGGTGCGGCCGCACTGTGTAAGATTGTAAACACCATGCAATGTAAACACCAGTAAACGCGCCCTCTCTAGAGGGTTCTGTTGGATGCCGCGCGCGCGCTCCTGGGGCCGTTCTGTGGAAGACGGTTTATAAACGCGACTAAGCGAGCCCTCTGTATAGAGGGTTCTGTTGGATGCCGCGCGCGCCTGGGTGCGGCCGCACTGTGGAAGATTGTAAGCACCAGTAAACGCGCCCTCTCTAGAGGGTTCCGTTGGATGCCGCGCGCGCCTGGGCGCGGCCGGCGGCCGTTCTGTGGAAGACGGTAAACGCAACTAAACACACCACACACGACTGCTCCATAACAGGCCGCGCACACGCACTTGCTCACACCCATGTACGCACTCACTCCTGCACTCACTCACTCGTTCACTCACACACTCATTTACTCCCTCACTCGTTCACTCCTATGCACCTTTGCACTCTTTACGAATAGTTGATCTTCGCATATGGGGTTATCCGGTCCTTTGATGGGTTCGCCTCTCTCAAATCAGCAAAAACGCGACGACTCCACACGCTCACCAAGAGGCTTGGCAGTCGCACAAGGCAGAACTTCACGAGGTTTTGTGGGGATTAGACTTTTTGGGGCAGTTTTTGGGGTGCTTTGTGGGTGAGGGTGTAGAGTGTAGGCTATGGATTATAACGGTGGCAACATCACATGAAGAGCACCATAGAACCGAGTGCATTGTACCATCATGTGGGACCTCAGCTGTGCCTAGCAACAACAACAACTCCAATATCAGAAGCAGCCGCTTGCCGGATGAAGCCGCAGTGCTTAGCATTTCGAGTCTGAGGCGAGACCCCCCTCCACGCAACCAGCCGCGCAGAGATCGTCAGAGAGCTGCTGGCGCATGGCGCGGACAAGGCGGGAGGGCGGATGTCGGCGCGGTTTGGGTTATTTGTGTCCGACTTGCAGTCAAGACTGTAATTGCCCATAGGTTCCGGAGTTACGCGAGGTCTGAGGCCAGCCCCCAAAAGCAGCTAAGGCCTCACGGTGAGTTCTCGCCAGTACATTTTTCGGCTGCAGTCTTATGCAGCCTTGCTGTGGGCTGACGGATGGTAGCAGGTAGCACTTTGCAGACACGAGTTGGTCGCTTTAAGGCGAAATTTCCTTGGTTGCTTCAGCCTTTGAAACTTTCGTTGATCGGAACTTATTCCCAGTCTCTTTCTTTAGTCTCTTCTGCTAAGAGTCAAGGTAACCAGGCAAGATGACGAGTGCATGATTTACATGAGCCTGAACCAAGAAACTGTAACTTCAAGCCTGAGGTGGCAAGCCTTGGGGCCTTGAGGCCTTTCGGAGAACTGACTGCTGGTCTGAGCTTGGGAATGCACATTTTAAAAAAGAAGAAGTTTGAGAAGGTCCAAGGCGCCCCAGAGCAATCTCAGAGTAGACCATCGGGCTCGTGCACTGCTCCTTTTCGTGCCGAGGAACAGGAAGAAAACCTTGGTTGTAGGCCCTCCTTCGTGTGCTCAGAGCTGGGATAGTTGCATCCTTTAGCGGCCTGCACCGCGCAGCTGCAACCCCCGCACAGGATGCCCAGGACAACGATGGCCGCAGCCTCGGGTGCTTTGGGGCCGCGGCCTTCGCCTCACAGCGAGAGGGCAGTCACTTGGGACGGCAGCGTCGACCGGCGATGCTTCAGAGTGCCTGTGCTCTCGTCGACGATGATGATTCCATCTCCGAGGCGAGACAGCCCTCATCAAAGCGGCAAGGTTTTGCAGCGTTGCCGTCTGGAAAGAGCTCCTGGCGCAGGGCGCCAACAAGGCGGGGGGTTCCGGAGCCGCGTTGGAAGGCTTATTGGCAGCTTCTGCAGCATTGGAGCTCCGGCATTTCCATGTCCCATGCGTCAGGACCTGGAGGACAAATATGGCCCCGGTCTCGCTCTACGAGTCGACACATTAAGCAGCACAGCCCGAAGTTCAGAGGAGCTGCCCAGCAAAAGCCGAGGCCATTCCGCTGGATATATCGCGTGGGATAATGGCAACCTCCAAGAACTATGTGCATGACCGGCACATCGGCGACTAGTACGACAACATTTTGCAGACCGTGCGATGCCCGTCAGCATCAAAGCCGCTCTTGGGTACGGGCCTTCTAATTCATAACGATCCTATCTGGTTGGGGTTCTGTTTTGGGTCCCCTGTGTTCTGAAACTCCCAGGTGCTGCCTTGAAACGAGGAGTGCGTGCGGCTTCTGAGTGGCGGCCCCGGCCTTGGTAAGAGCCGTCGGTTCCCAACTTCCGAACGACGGAAGACATGAGGGGAGTCCACAGCAACAGAAGCATATGAGAGGTTTGTGAGAGGAAACGGGATCGAAGGCTTCCTCGCCCGCATGTTTTGGACACGGACCTGATTAATAATGATCCTGTCAAATTGGGGTTTTATTTTGGGGTCCCCTATGTTCTGAAGCCGAGACTGAGGGGAGAGGTCAACAGTTTAGGCTTTACGGTCTAGGGCATCATGGGCGTTTCGGGTTTAGGGCAGTTTGGGTTTAGGGTTTGCGAAATGTGCCGCGGACCGCCTTCATCTGCAGTAGTACTTTATCCTGTCCGAACTCTAATTTGAGGCAGCGATGCTTTGGCAGGCGAACAGGTCTGCCTTTTGCTAGTGAGGCATCGGCCATGCTTTCCTGTCCTCTGGCTGACACTGTTCGTCCCCCACAGTGCGAACCCTTTCTACACTTAGCGCTAGGCTCGAAGTCGATCCGGTCTCAAACCAACAACTGGCTCGAAGCTCGAACCCCTTCCAGCTCTCTCGCAAGCTTTGCTATAGTGGTCAAGCGGTAGCGGTCGAGGCTCCGCACCACATGGATACCAGTGGAATTGCAAACCTGCGGTTTTATAAGGTTAGCATCGCCTCATGAGCACACTTTGACTGCATACCCATTCATTGTGGGAGAGTTCCTGCACTGCGCTGTTGTTCTGTTTGGCTTATTCGATTCGATAAGTTTCGTTTTCTCCCGGACGAGGGCAATGGGGCATTTCTATTTGTCTGTCTGCTTGTCTCTCTTGTCAATCTTGTCTGTGTCATCTATCTTATCTTTCTTACCTGTCTTATCTATATAATTGTCTATCTATCTATCGATCTATCGACCCACATGCACACCAAATACGAACTTACCCCGATGGCCGCGGAGAGGGTCGTGGACAGCCTTTCCTTACGGAGGAGCAGAGGTTGTTGGGAGCTTTCAGAGACGGTCCGGACGCGAAATCTGACAGTTCGAGGTAAGTGACTTCTACATGAAATGAACCAGCTTCGAAGCAAGGAGCCCGCGATTTCCTCTGCAAAGTCCGAGGCCGAAGTTGGAAACTCCCAGGCGACCAAAACATCATGGCAGAACCATGCAGTCAACAACTTTCGGGTTTTTCACGAAAGGGCTTGGGCCGCGTGGCTCAAAATGTCGTCGCCTTCATCTGCAGTGGGACATAGAGTGCACATTGTCCAGGCTCTTGTTGGAAGCAGCGATGCTTTGGCCAATGGTTTTGCGTTTTGCCAGCACGGCGTTGGCCGTGTCTGCCTGTCCCCGCCCCGCCCTTCTCGCACGCCTGAGGCTAGGCTTGAAATTGCTATTTAAACACGTAAACCCTTAATTCTGAGCCCTACACCCATACAATTGGCTCGAAACTCAGACTGGGTCCTTAGCCAGGACTTCTTGCAGGACCTTGTCTGCTGTTCCGAGGTACAGTGGGTTAGCTCCACATCGTGTTTTTTCATGAATTCGCGATGCAGATGCTGCATTTTCCTTGTACGACAGGCTGCACATATGTGTGCTCGAAGAGTAACTCAAGAGTTGTGGAGCCTAGTGTTGATATGCGTGCCTCCATTATGACAGCTGTTCTTGTTCTGCACAAAGGTTTCTCTCTGTGTATCGTCTTGCCCGATGGAAGCAAGGAGGGCCGTGGGCAGATTCAACAGGCGCTTATCCGGAACCTGCGAGGGACAGAGCGTTTTCCCTAAATGCACTGGAGCTTCCAAAACTTGGCCTCCGAACGCTAGCATTGACAGCTCGATGTGAGTCGAGCTGAGATCCACTCAGCTCTGACCTGAAGGCTCAGAGTGTCTTTTGATAAATCCAGAACTGCAGACGAAAGGATCCCTGACCGTGCCGTTCAAACAAAATACAATGCAACATGGTAGACTACAATGTACAGTTCGAGTCGAATATAATATACAATAAATGCAATGTTCATCTAGTGTTATGGAGGCCCTTCTGTTGTTCCGAGCTCTTCAGAACCCGAGGCCGAAGGTCGATTCTTCCAGGTGGCAGAGCGCGGCGAAGCTGTGCTGCTGGAGGAGCAGGAAGCACACGGAACATCGTGACTGGAGATGCTTCTTCGTGCCGCCAGTGATTTGTCGAGATGGGTTTATCCATCGACGAGACGTCAAAAGACTCTTGCCCCTTCCATGATGGGGTCAGAGACTTGGAAGCACGGATGCAGCAAAGATCGGGAGCAGGGCAAGGCGTCTTTGTGTTTTGTTTCCGGACCGGTAACAGTTCAGCAGATGCTGTGGGCTCATGCCTCCTGCAGCGTCGTCAAGTCCTTGGCTCTTGCTGAAGAGGTGTCGTAGACACATTGGTTGTTGTAGTATGCTCCTTCAGTTTACGAGGCGGCGAAGGTTGAGGGTTTTTGGTTTAATTTTGAGTTGAGGGGCTCTGACAGCAGCAGCTGCTCTGCTCTGATCTGCTCTGATTGTTCTGTCGGGCAGGATCTTCCAATTCGCCATCGAATCTTGTTAGGCTAAGGTCGAGGTTCAGAGCTAGTTACATTCGAACGTGTAGGGAGATTAGGGCGGTTATGTCCGCTTGATTTGCAGTGCTTCCGTCCTAGTCTAGAATTACCACCAGCAATGGAGCGGCTGTTGTGTCTAGCTTGTTGTTGTGGCTTCTTGCATTCTGACATGATGTTTAATCACCTTGTTTGGTTCTGAAGCCGCAGTGGTAATGCGGTTTCAGACCACAGTCTTGCTGTTTGCACCGGCTGTTTTGAGCGCACCTGTGCGTAGAATCTTTGCCGGTAGATGTGCAGCTGATTTTGCGACTCTGAAGCTCAGCCTTGGTACTTGCAAGAAAGTCATTCTGATAGCCTGTGAGCACTTGTGGGATCGCCTCGTGGAGCGACCCAGTGCAGGCTAATTCTTCAGTACATAAGCGTCTTAATGTGAAAAGTTATCTCGACAGCCCGGCCGGTGCCCTTCTGCGGCGATGTAGAGCCGAAGCTGCTGGCGTCTATGAGGAGGATTGGAGCTGGGTCGTCGCGGTTTGAGGTGTAGGCGTTCTCTTTCAGGATGTCTGGAGCTTCCAAGGATCTGGGGTGGGGCGACGGAGCGGGGGTTTATTCGGATAGAGGTGCAGACATGTGGAGCTACAGCAAGAGCAAGGGGGAGCCCAAGGTATCCCTTACTTAAGTCTGCATTTTCAATACACTAAACAGGGAACCACCAGGCCCCCTACACCCAAAACTCTAAAGCCCTGAACCTAGCACAACATTCGACAAGAGAACAGCCTCCAGTTTCGGAGATCTGGGTTCCGAACTCGCCGCACAACTGTGCAACCTTAAGCGCTAGGTCAAGCCTTACTGTGCCTTCACCACCAGAGACCTTCAGTTTTTAGGACGTAGAGTAGTTGGAAGGAAATCTGACTAAGGAGCCCTCACGAAGTGGATCTTGATGGGTCAGAGTTAGAGTCGAGTCAGCGTTCAAGCTAAAAGGGTTGGGGCGCTGGGTGGAAGGCTGGGGGTTGGAGCTTTAAGGGTTGGTTGCGGGGTTGAAGGGATTCAAGGTTTAGGAGTTCGGGTCTAGGATGTTGGGTTAGGATGTAGGGTCGATGGTTGAATTGAAGCCGGTCACGGCTTGGGATTGTTTCAGAGGTTCTGGAAGGTCAGCGAGAGCGGAAGTTATGCCCAAGTCAGTGCAGATTTCTGTGCAGAGCTCAGAAACCTGACCTGAAGACGAAAGCCCAGGTTTTGAAGCCCGAATGCAGCCGCCCGGCATGCCCAAAACACCCGGGACCGTTGAATCTTGAATCACGGAAGCTTTCCTGAGCACCAAACCCTAAGCCCCTAAACCCTAAACTCTAAATCCCCCCCTGACCCTAAAGACCCTCGACCTGGGCGCAGGAGCCATACATTGGATAGGCCTCATAGAGAAGACGAAGAGAAAGGCGCGGATGGGGCTTCAGGGCTCCTCACATAGAGGAATCTTTGGGTTTTCCTTAAAGCAACCTAAACCCTAAACCCTATGAGCCCTATAAGCCCTAAGTACGTTGGACCTTTAGGGTCTATGTGAGGTTCTTTTCTCCTTTCCCTACTAAAAGCCATACTGCAGCATCTGAACTCCAAACCTCAAACCCCCAAGGTTCGGCCCAAACTCTAAACACTGAACCCGTAACTCTCAACCCTAAGTCGTAAACTCCATGCAAACTTTTACTCCAACTCTCTTCCTGCTACATTTTAGTCCTTCCCTCCAGTGAGTAGGCATCGAGGTAGAGCAGTAGAAATATCGTGGTGGGAATTGGGAAAAACTAGGAGTAACTAGCAGACATGTAGGAGAGAGTAGGAGTAAGAACAGCAGTAGCGGTAGAAGTAGCCCTAAGAGGAGGTGCATGGGTGCAAGGAATAGGAAACTCAATTGAGAGAGGAGGAATAAAGGAAGAGGACAACTAGTCTAGAAGTAGACATGAGGGAGCTGGAATGAGACTAAGAGAATGAGAGTAGCACGTTTCAAACAGGAGGACAGGGGGCGGAGAGAGCAGGAGTATGTGCAGGGCCAGTTTGACAGTAGGAGTCGGAGGAGAGGAATATGCGAACAAAAAACAGGGAGTTCGACTAGTTGAAAAGGAGCCACACATTGGGAGTAGGAGAGGAGGAAGGCAAGAGTAAAAATTTGCAGAAAAGGAGTAAAAGAGACGTACCAGGAGACGGCGAACAGGTGAGTGGGAGTAAGATGATGGCATCTTACTAGCCTGTTATGTTAGTCTACTAATCTCCTAATCTTGTACTCCTATCCACCTA